GCACCATGTGTTAAGCATGGCCAAATGAGGCATCTAGACTAGGAAATCTTTAAGAGGAATTTTATTCCAATGAAGTTCCAATATCCGGAAGTACCTTAGCCAAGCTAGATAAGTGTAGTCCAATCGAAACACTCATGTTCGACGAATAGGGTTTGGCAAAAGGATTCAAAAAGTGTTTCCGACCCACATGCAGGTGACCACATATCTAACGAACTTTTGTTTAAGATTCACTAGGGATGCACACAATTCGAACTGAGAAGGAAGCTCATTCTTGGTTATATATTGTGCTATTGAAATCCTCTTACGTAAAATGACAGCAATGTGAAAGAATAAACAGAATCAATAAACAAAACAACTCAAACATGTTAGACTGACATTAAAATTTGGAGGCCATTCCAAGTATAATTCGACACTTTTTTTATCCTTAATCTGATCAATGCATTACTGCAAGTTTGGGCAAAAGATTTCCCATGAGTTTAATATTTAATACTTGGTATCGGAGTAAGCCGTAACTCCGTATATCACGATGGAACTCTTTATAAACACTAAGTTTGAGAGGTGACGTTTTTCCCAAATCAAGTCATCAAGGGAGGCTTTTGAGCTCTGTCTCGAGCCTACAAGGTTCATTGGTATAACCATCCATCTTTAAAGCGGAGCGCACTTTCAGAAGCATAGTTAAGGGCAATGTGGGACCATGATTTTTTGGGCCCATGACACATAGCGAGAAGGACAGGCATGCCCGAAGCCCATGGAGCATCGTTCGAAAAGCTAGTCTTAGGCCTATTAAAGATATTACTTGCCTCTTAAGAAATAAAACTCTAATCCAAGTCAGATTAGGATATCATAGGGATTAGGCAAGGCAATCATGATTCTAGAATGATTGGTTATCTTATCCTAAATTTCCTCTTAGATAGTCTCCCAATTTGTTGAAGATTACTTTCCTACAAAGGACCTTCAAGATCCCTATAAATACTATAGCCTGAGTATTTATCAGAGGAACATCGACCTCTTTAACAATCTTTCAACGCCCTGTCATAGTCTATTTGTCAATGATGGTTTACACTGTTATTCCTTAGAACTACACCTGTAGTTTGATTCTCCACCACAAAAATATGTATACAATCCTATTCGGATTCAACCACACCCCCCAATCAACCCCATTCTCCCTTCATTGGAGATCATGGGCTAGTCTGATTGGATCTCGCCTCCGTCCCCGGATGTGTGCGAATTTAGTTCTGGCAATGAAGGTGCATTATTTATAGAGTTGAAAATTTTATGAGAGCATTTGCCAAAGAAATGAAGACTTCTATTAACGTATTGAATTACTTGAAAATGGTGCATTGTTTCCTGATTGCAAGCATTGCATATATAATTTTTTGACCATACCTGTTACCGTTGCATCTGCAGAAAAAAACTTCTCAAAGTTAAAGTTATTCAAATCATATTTGCGATCAACCATTTGTAATTTTATTAACTTCATTTTTGCCAAAGACATGTACACCAATAATACAAGAATATGAAGGAAAATTAGGGTACACACTCTTGTAATGGGAATAGTATTCTCTCTAGATTCCTTCTATCTAGATTTTACGAATCCTTCAATCTTGTCAGTTCAACTGAAAATTGAACAGCTGTAAATTAATTTCTTGTTCACCTTCACCTGTTCATCTTCTTCCGTGTTCACCTTCTTACCTATTCTCCATTTCTTTTTCTCCAGCTCCAGAATTGAAGGAAAATCCGGATGGAAGGAATTTGGAAAGAATCTTAGTCCCTTGTAAGAGCAGTTCCAGCGTGGGAACCTTCCCCCCAGGCTATTCCCTATTTAATCCACCCACTGAACAGTAACTGCCTTTAATGAACAATAACTGCTTTTTGCATCTCCACCCATACACTTGAATAGCCCTGGCAATAAGTCAATAAAATAATAGTATTTTTTGCAACTTGCTCACGTCACTCGCGTCACTCCCTCTCTTTCCACTCATCTTTCTCACTTCTCTCCATTTTTTCTGAAGTTCGTCTCTCTCTCTCTAAGCTCTCGACACTCTCACTCTCTTTAGAGCTCCGAGAGCTCTCACCCACTTTCCTCTTCGAAAATTAAACAAATCAAACTCCAAAACCAAGAAAGCTTAATCTCTGGGACTAAAGGATCCTAGTTATACCGTTGCATGTGTCATCAGACCATCACGGTGTAAACCACCATTGAAGCCGAGAGCTTCAAGATCTGAAACTCGAACACAGGTGAGGTTCTCTATGAAAATCTTGTTTTATTATGTCTTAATGTTGTTTGGGACAAGATTTGTGGTGTTTTTCCAATTCGAAACCAGAGGTTTAACCCCTTACAATTTCTCTGAAACCTTGCCCAGTTTTTTGTCACCTCCTCGGAGCAAACTCCGGCAAGTTTGTGGGTTCTGGAACTCTTGCTCAATTCGGCAAGGCGGTGGTGGTCACGAGGCGGAGGCATTGGGGACAGTCGTCGTTGCCGCCGCCCATCCACCATGAGACGACGACGTCGTTCAAGAACCATGAAGGTTGAGAGAGAGAAAAGGAAGTCCCGTCCACCATGTGGCTGACGTCGCTGTCGTCCTGACGTCAGCCCACGTCAGACTGCCTTCGGGCACTCGGGCCGACATGAATCGACGAGCCTGATGCTCGAGCCTGCTCGGGCTATCTTGCCAGCCAAAGTTGGGCTTCCTCCCTCGGGCAATCAAGCCCTGTTCCGCAGCCTGTTCCTCGAGCACGAGCTCCTGCAGGAGCTGCTCTAATGTATCCAAAGAAGCCATATTCTGATCACATGTGCATTAAGTCAATATATTAATGGTTATGGCAGCTGTCGGAATGGTACAAGTAGTGAGTCTGGAAGTGCAATCCATACAAAATAACAAGTAAAGTAGATTCCTTAAATGGGCATGGTAGATTGCAAGCTCGAGGATTTGAATTTTTAAATAGGGCAGGCCAATAGCCATTAAAAACAATAATAATTTTAATCTTCTGTACAATGAGACAAGGACGTCCTGTAACACATTATATTCATCGGGATATTATCTTTAATCAGGTAAGCAGTTACGTCATGTACCAAAACTAATTATATAACCAAGTAGTTAAGATGTTGTTATTAAAAAAGAAAACTGATTTAGGTTTTTAAATATAAAGTAATTAGTAGATATAAGAGTTTTTCAGTGTGTCTGAAACACGAGCACATACGTTATATGTCATTATAAAAGTAGAGCGACATTTGAAAATAAAATAAAATAATAAAAAAAAAAACTTCCTTCCACTTCTACAATAATATAGGCATACCGTCCTGTGTTTCTGTGACATTCTCCCAGTACTCAACAGGGAGTTTTATTCTACCCATGCATCATGGGCTTGATAGGGCCAATCGTTCGTCATGGATAAAATGCTTTAGACCCAACATTGAGACCAAAGTGGTCCCAAGACCACCTATAGTTCGAAAAATATACATGAGAAGGTCTTCTGAGGACCCTCCTCAATGTTTGGTATGAGTCCATTTTGTGCCTACCAAATGTTTGATGCAATGCTTGCTAGGAATATCTTGACAGGTTGTATCGACGACACTTGAAAAATTCTCTTGAAATCATTCATCAGATTGGTTTGGCATATGTCGATATCTGTTGACATGTGTGCAACATGGTTTTGCTAACGACAACAAGCCCACCAAATGTTTGATGAAATGCCTTAGTAAATAAACTAGAAAAAAAAAATTAGCGCGCTTCAGCCTTTGTTCATACCTAAAAACTTGTACTTTAATATTAAAAGATTCTAAAATTTAAATCCGAATCCGCAACTGTACCTCATCCACCAGCTTCATTCGACGGGTCGTTTGTTCAAATTTAATTTGAAAACCTCTAAAAAAAAATCTAATCCTTTCATCCAATAAATATTATATCGTTTCTTCTTTGACAAATTATTCTTATCTGTCTCCACTATAACTTGGATTTTGTTTATAAATTTGGACTTGGTCAAAAGTTGAGGTATAATACATACCATGTGTATGATAAATAAAGATTACAGAAATGGATATATCTATATACACACACTTAAGTGATGATGAAAAGAGAGAATAGGTTATCATCCCAAAGCTTGTTATTGTTACCTAAACTAGTTCATTTGATCATTTTCCGTATAAACATGAAAAACAAATAGGCAAAGAGATAAGAGATAAGAGAGTAGAGAGAAGCTTGAAAACAATAATACTGATGGAGATCGAGCCTATTAGAGGAGGTAGCGGTTTCGTTCACTTCTATCCTTTACCCAATTTAGTCATTAGCTTGCCGTCCTCTTTCCTTTAGGTATCTAGCAAATTCTTCATTTCACTGTTTTTTTTTTTTTTTTTTTAAAAAACGATATTATTTTGGGATGAGAGAGTAAGTTAAAGTTTCATAAGGGACTAACAATAATGTGGTTCAAATTCTCTTTTGGTGAGAATGGAACCTAAAATCTCACGCTTACAAGTGAAGATGAATACTATTCGACCGTAGTACTAAGTAGCTCATTTCATTTTTTATTTAGTTGATTTAATTACTTGGGTTAGGTAAATTAATCCCAATATTTTTGGTAAATCCCTCTAAAAATAATTATAAATTAATTTATGAGTTTCCAACCTTTTTAACTTTCATACCCCTTCCTATCACATTCAACCGCTCTCTCTCTCTCTCTCTCTCTCTCTGAGTTTGACCCGTTGCCAGCCACCGGCACCCTCCTTTTAACTACGGACAAGGATTATCTGCCTTTCCATTTCTGTTGCCCTCTCATGTCTTCTGTTTATGTAGTCACGATTAAGTCACGTCAACATTTTATATTACTATTCATTTTTGTCTTATTATCTTTATAAAAAAATAATATAAAATGTTGACATGACTTAACCGTGGTCATACAAAACAGAAGAGCACGGATGCTGGAAGTGGGAGGGTAAACCATACTTGTTATTTTCCTACTCCAATGGCGACCCCACCCTGCACACACACACTCTCTCTCGAGATGGAGGATCTTTCTAATTTTTTAGAATTGAGGCCCTCTCTGTCTCAATATCAGAAAGGCTAAATAAATAACCTTTCTTTACTCTTTCATTTCTCTTATGCTTTTCTGAAACCCTAGCAGCTCATCTCTCTAAAACATAAAGGGAAAAAAGAAGCACAGAAAATAGTAGTTCCCAAAGAAATCAAAAAACAAAAAGGAAGAAGAAAAGAAAAGCCTCTGCTTCTCTCCCATCCATCCATCCATCCATCCATCAGTTTTTATATATTCTCTCCTTTTAATAGAAACTTTGGCTCTCTCCAACTGAGACCAGGAAAAGATTTTGCTTCCAATTTCAGATCTCAGGGCTTCAATGATAAAGACATGTTCCTCTCTCTCAAAATGCTGTTCTTAGACAAGGAGATATGAGATATATACATATATATATATATATATGTATCACTTTTCCACTCACTTCACCATGCATTTTTTCCCACTACCCTCATAATCTCTCTCTCTCTCTCTCTCTCTCTCTCTCTCTCTCTCTCCATATTATTTGTGACCATCTACATCTTCTTGTTCTTAGCTAGCCATGGATTCTGATAATAGTGAAAGTATGCAATCTTCAAGTGGTGGTGAAGATCAAGACCATGAAATCTCAAGACCCAATTCGATCCCGGGTTACTTGAATTCTCCGACCCAATTGTTTGATTCCTCCGACCCAATAGTGCACCCTTCTCTCCCTTCTCATTACCAAAACCATAACCCCCAACCCACTAACGCAACATTTTTTGATCATCATATCTCATCTCGTAATTATACTTATAATCATTTCCACACAGCATTGTCTCAACCCCAACCAAACTCATCAAACCCAAATTTCATCCCCAACTCAAGATCCAATCAACCCAACTCCACCAACCCAGTTCCCAACCCGCAACCTTCATCAACTACTACTCAAGCTCTCTTAGCTTCTTCAAGAGGAGGACAGACCAACCCCGTTGCCACCCGGAACACAAAGAAGAGGACAAGAGCTTCTAGGAGGGCACCTACCACCGTGCTCACCACCGACACGTCAAATTTCCGAGCAATGGTGCAGGAGTTCACTGGCATCCCAGCACCCCCATTTTCAGCCTCATCGTCATCACCATACGCTCGAAGGCTCGAAATGTTTGGCTCTGGAATAAGGTCACCTCTCCACCCTTTACGCCCGTTGGCTCAAAAGGTTCATCAGCCAACCCCATTTCTATCTTCTTCTACTTCTAATTCTATTTCTTCATTGTTGATGATGATGAACAATAATAGTAGTGCTATGGTTGATGCTACCAATATTGCTACTAGGAATAATAATAGTAACAACAACGTTAATTTCAGTTCAACTAATTACCCATTACTATCTGATCATCATCAAAATCAAGGCCTCTTCCAAAACATGCAAAACCCTATTCTAACATTCCAATCCCTACCGCAGCAGCCTCCTCCATTCCACTCTTCCGTCAGTGTGCCCAATTTTGGGGCAAGACCTAGCCCCCGCGGAGTAATTGGTAATTTAGCCATGCATTCATCACTTGAGGGCCATTTGGCTCTGAACCATCATGGATCATCACCATATGTTAACACAAACCAGCTCGGTAGTGGATCAATAGACGACAGCCACGTGGCAGCTTCAGATGGCAATGATGGCTGGAGGGATCATGGAGTACTTGGATCAAGTGATGGGGGATTATCATCACAAGATCACCATTTGAGGCCTAGTTTGGACAAGTGTTTGGAGATGAATAATGTTAATTCTACTATTAGAGGTGAAGGTGCGGTGGACTCGTGGATTTCTCCGACTTCAGATCACTAGATAATGTTGATGCTAGCTGGTACTAGTACTACTGCTTGAAGGAGAGCCGTTGGCCTTGGTGGTGGTGGTGGTGATAATGAAGAGCCTACATATATAGCTGCTGTTGTTTTTATCCCTCACCATTCAACTTACAAAATCGTGACAATATGTAACTAATATGACGCATCATCAGTAGTTCAATTATATATAGTTGTATATAGCTAGCAAGGTATCATATTTTCTTAATTTATTATATGTAGCTCGGACTTATTTAGAGTATGTATGTACAATACTTTCTTTTTTTCTTTATTTTTATTGTATTACAACTTACAAAGTATATATTCATTCCTATCGTATTTTCTCCATTAATGATCACTTTTTAAGTCCTAAAAAATGTGCTTTGGTTACTACTGCAAAGAGAATATACATATGAAAAAAATAAATAAGCAGATCAAAGTAGGCCTAGGTAAATTCCCTTTCTAGCTAGTATAAGAATAATAAAAAAAGTCGATGCTCTATGGATTTTACAAAAAGGGGGACAACTGGTAGCAAACCACGATTATTCACCTCTTTTGGGGGCTGGGAAGACTCAAATAGGCATTTCAGCCTCCTCCTGGCCACTAGTCTGGCTTCCACACTAGCAGTGGGTTTTGAACCCGAGACCTCCAGTTTTAGTTTTAAGAAAACCTCGTAATCCGTCATTTACTACTGAATCACCAACTCGTAGTTGTCGATGCTCTGTAGATGGAAGGATGGGAAATATTTGGGTGGAGATATCTTGCCGTTGAGTTAAAACATATTATGTATTACAAGCTACAAGCTCGAAGTAGATTATTGTCTGTGAATATAAAGTGAATAGGTTTTTTGTATGCATGATGTCTAGTTGATTGTTTACTGTGGGATTTATGGGTTTTTGTATATTTCTTTCCTTTTAGCTGGCTATTGTTAATTACCTTTATTAACTAATTCTTGCTATTGGAATTTTCCAACACTGAGGATTGATCATTCTGTTATTATATCTCGTGCACTGTTGAAACATAGAAGTTATGATGGAGCTCTTAGTGGCAAAGATTTGGGGAATCCTTACCTGCCGCAATCATAAATCATGAGAGTCATCACTAGTTTTTGTGCTCATTACCCCAATTTACTTTCCTATTGTGATAAAAGAGCTTCCACCTTACTATTATCTTAACTTCACTAGGGCGACACTGGGGTCTTGCTAAAACTCCCCCGAAGAAAACCAGATGGAGAAAACAATGGGTTTAGGAAAGAACACCACCAATGTCACAACATTAAGCACAATTCATTACATCATTAAAACTAGAGATACGTGTAGTAGTTTAATCAAAGGGATCAAACTGTGTTTGATTTTAGAGATAAAGAAGGCGGAAAAGTCCATAAAATTGAAATGCACATTTTTAGTTAGTTTTATTTCTACAAATTTTTGCATTGATTTTATCTTTTCCTTGTCTCATATTTCTCGTCTCTCATGAGCCAAATAATTAATATTACCAAAATTAGCAACGCAATATGTAATTAACAAATGCATAACATTAGGGGAGTAGTTATAGAATATGACCATGTGAACCGTACGCATAAACTTGTCAATCCAACAAATCATTTTATGGAAAACAAAATGCTGGAATTCGCTAAACCTCACTTAACTGATCAATTATAGTGCTTAAAAGTGCAAAGTATTGCTAAAAGCACCATCCCATATCCCAATTAAAACTCGGTGAAGTCTTGCCTATAGCACAGACTTACCCCATACCGCACCTTTTTACATGGTGCATGGGACTTGGATGGAACCTATTCGCATGCATGGGTGAGTCATACAATGAGAAGAGAATGTAGTTAGTACATGGTGTACAATTAGGTGGGGTTGTAACTCTACTGAAAAGTGTTTATTCATGTCTTCAAAATTTTAAGTTCCAATCATTCTCTCCAAAATATTTTTTTGTTGATTATAAAATAGGAAAACTAAACTAGGTTCACAAATTGTTCAAATAGAATTAAAAGGCATCAAGTAATAATCATTTATTAAAACGATGATGACGATAGAGATAAAGGAGAGAAGGATTGGTTTTGGATCTTTGGAATTATGACAACATATTGAGAGGATGTGGTGACATGTGACTCGTCTTTTTTGGATTGTGGTGGCTCATGGCCCATGCCAGTGAATGACATGGTACCATAGCAATTAGCAATGATGTTCTTCGCTTACACCATCCATCCCTCTACCATCTGCCTTTTCAGTTTTCCCTCAGTTGTCCTCACCTCACACACTGCCCTCCAATCACACCTCACCCTGCAAATTCCATCTTTCTCTCCTGGCTCCTCAAATATATTAAAGCTTTGGTTTTATACGTGCAAGCGAAATTAGGAAGCAGGAGTTACTATATATATAGAGCATGCATGCTTCAAACTAATTAAGGAACCATTCGAAACCCTAAAGGGCAAATTAGGGCGGAACTAACATTTATAAGCTTATTCGGATTTGTGTTGCTTTGCCTTTGCACGACAAGAAATTAAGATACAAAGAAGCGGCTTTAACCCTCTCATCATTATACATAATATATACAAAGTGATACTAGGTAGATCATGTACTTGAACTATATTTTACATATCACATGATATAGTAATTAATGGTTGAATTTCTTTTTATAAACATTAAAAAAAAATTAAATCACCAACCGCTACATTATATGTGATTTACAAAATATATTCTAAAAATATAGTCTCTTAAACATTTTCCACACATAAATTAATGATCATGTTTTTGTTTCTTTCTATCAAGAGTCAATCATACGGAGGAGATTGTCCAGTAACAATAAAGGGTGATCTCCTTTCTCCATTTTTTTTGAACTTATTATGTTAATAAGCCTCTTTTTGTCTTTAATTTCTTTATTTATTCGCTGTGGCTGTGCATGTTTAGTACACGCAATCCATGACGTATGTGGAACTTTGAGGACTAGACTGTTAAGTAAAAACTCGTGGCTCGGACTGGTTCCAGCTTTAGCCAGAAATTTTGGACCATCGCTTAATTTTATTGGTCCTAAAATCCCAATAAAGTAGTATAGTTGTACTATGAGAACTCCTTTTGACAATCCTTTAGGTCTTCAGCATTCAACTTATTAAAGGCATGCTAAAATAGATTAGGATTTTGGGACCTTAAACAATTATAATTTAGAGGCAAACCTCAACCCTAATGGACCCAAACCAATAATGTAAATGTGTTTACACATTATAAGAAACGGGATCATCCTAGTTCTGTCACTTTGGTCGTAGAATTAGGTATATAATAGGCAGCCCACTAATAGTCTAATACTACAGAAAAGTCCATGCCTGAAAACAACAGCTAAAATAAAAAGATTTTTTATATTAGCACCCCATAAAATGTTGAATGTACCTCACATTAAAATTTAATATTAAATAACTTATTTACCCTACGATGCAATGACAATTTTGACCTTATTTGGTTAAAAAAAAAATTAGATACATCCCAAATCACTTTTAACGTATTAGTTATCTTCTTCAACTATCCAAACCCTTCAACCCTCCATTGTTGAACAAAACCCTAACCAATGAAACTATAAACATGTTGATTAAGAAAAATTATTTTTGACGAATGAAATACGAAATCGATGTTTCAGAAGCTTCACATGATGTAAGACTTCATATTTTTTATTGTTTTAATGATTTTGACGACATCGATAATTATTTAATCTTGCTTTTGATTCATTATTTAAGCTTCTATATTCGTATTCATCTTTTCAGGATCACACGGATTACATGACGAATTAAACACCTAAAGTTATCACCAAATATTAAAAAAATGACGATATGGGTTTTAATGGTGGAATTGAAAACAACCCACATATGCTTTAAATCCCAGGCAGCATCTTTTGTCAAAATTTCAGTCGTCATTTTTTGTCCAAATTAAAAACTTTATAAGATTTGAGAAATGTGGGGTGTATAGAAAATATGGGGTGCATGTAGAAAATGTAAGCCGTATATTAAGAATGTGGGATGTGAGGGTATTATGTGACGTACGTGGGGTGTATTAAGATAATTTTTAATTGAAAAAGAAAACATGAGGTGTATAAAGCATGTGAGGTTTATTCAACAATTTGAAACGTGTCAATTTAATAAAACCACATAATTCTATTCCACAACTTTATGTTAACTAGTCGCCTACTCTTAGAAAACTAAGAAAAGTAGGTTTGAAAAAATTCAAAGTCCAAATATAAGACTAATTCTTTGCGCTGCAGTTTTGTAAGTTTTGGGTAGCTCTAATTGGAAAATTGAATTTGGATGGCTCTTTCGTTTCCTTGGCTCTAGAAGGTTTCAACTTGTCAACTAACTAGCGCCAACGGCTTAAATTTTAGTCCAATATATGCCAGCAGGAGAAACAAAGACGGAAAGAGAGGGAAAGAGAGGGAAGTAAACCATAAGCACTCTTCTAGTTCTCCATGGACGCAAGAAAAAATCAATCTAAACCTAAAGATTTGGATTGAGAATAAAAGTTATTTCTTGATGACACTAAAACAAAACAACTAGGAGTGCCAAAAAATTCCCTTGCCACCGATTCACTTTTTTTTTTTTTTTTTGCATTAAGTAGTGTTGGGGCCCAAAAAATGCACATGTAGGCCCAATCACGTCTCGAAGCCTGATTGTTGTAAAAACAACCAGGCCAAACTTAAATACATGCAAAGATGCAAGATCAAGAAGAGAAAATATTTACAATCACGCCATGCTAATAAATAATAATTTATGAGTTGAACGTTTGTATAACCACGCCAAGCCTTAGCATATTCCACACACCAAGCTTTGCCACAACATTGTCGTCGTGTACAAATCATTCTAACAATGATACATGCTCACGTATGCCTAACCCATGTGTCAGGGGACGGTTACAGAAGTTTATCGGGTTTATGTGGAACTAAGATCATGGAAGAATTTGAACTGCTTGGGAGCACCAAAGATCCTAGGCCACAATCCTTGAGTCCCACGAAGGTAAGTTTTAGAGAGAACAAACTAAGTTTCCCTTTTCCCTTAGCTAACCAACTAGCTCAGTTAGGAAGAAACCAGAATCCAAAGCCTTATGCTCACATGAAAGTCTAATGTAAGACACCCATTAATGAAGAGAGAAGAGATATTTCCCTTCCCAGCTTACGTAGAAGAACAATGAAAGAAAACAAAGAGGCGCGTTACCAGAAGTAGTGCCTGTAGAAAGCTGACAATGGAAGATAGCGCTTTGGGCAAAGCACGTGATGCAATCTTCAATTCATGGAAGCAAAGGCATTCATCAATGCTACGCTAAAAAAGAAAAGCCTAGCTACGCAAAGGGAAACTAGAGGGAGACTTAG